GGCTTATGTCCCTTAGCATAATGTCTTCAGGCCTCCTCCACGTGTGGCGTGTGTCAGAATGTTCTCCTTTTCAAGGCTGAGTGCTATTCCAGCACATGGATAGACCACATGTGTTTATCTGTTCAGCAGTCAGTGGCTGCTGGGCTGCTTCCACCTTCAGGCTGTTATGAATAGTGCTGCTGTGGATGTGGGCTGCATGGCTCTATTGGAGTCCTGGCTTTCCTTTGTTTGGGGTTTGTACCCCCAAAGTGAAACTGGAGTCCTGTGGGAATTTGTTTGATCTGCTATTTCCCAGGGCTTTTCTACAGGCTTTGTTTGTGTTGCTCCAGCCTGACGGCAGGACACGGCTCCTCCTCTGTCTCCCAGAACGCGGGTGCTCCTTGTCTTCTCTAGTTCCCTGGCTGGCCATCCGACGGGTCTCTTGCCATGTCTCTTCCCGCCTGCCCCTCTCCTGCCCAAGCTTGGCAGCCCTCTCCTCTCCCTGCAGAGCTGTCTCATTGATGGCTCGTTTAGTCACCCAGGCCCGGGGCTCACCTCGTGCCTGAGGAGGCAGTGGCTCTCCTAAGCTCTTATCCCCCCAGAGAATCCAACCTCTGTTGGCAGCAGCCAAGCCCCACTTTTTTCCTTCATGCTGTGGGGACCCACCCTCACCCACATGGCGCTGGCAGACCTGGCTGGGGCATCTGTCCAGCTTTCTGGGGGTCTTGTGGCTAACTACAGGATTGAGGGACTGGGAGGCCACTCCTCTGAGAATCAGCTGATGCCCTCATCCCCAGAGGGAGACTGGCCAGCCTGGGGGAGTCGGGGTCCCTACAGGGTCTCCTGCTCCAGGGTCCAGGGCGCCTGAATCTCTGTGTCCACTTCCGGCAGATGAGACAGAAATTCAGAGTGACTCACCCAAGGCCACCCAGTCAGGGGTGGGGGAGAGTGGCTGCACTTGTCCCAGGTTCTTACCTGGAGCCGTGGCCTCCTGCCTGTCAGCGCAGATGCGTCTCCATTAGACGTCTCTGAAGAGACTCCGCTTAGTAAAACATCTCCCCTGTGCCATGAGCCCCGGAGGACTTCACGCTATGTGCAGTAAGCTGGTCACAAGGACATACACTGTACGACTCCCCTTCTGCAAGGTCAGCAGAGCAGTCGGATTCACAGCGAGAGGAGGAACAGGGGCAGCAGGGGGCTCAGGAAATGGGGCCAGGAGTTGCTTTTCAGTTGATTCAAGAGGTTTCAGAGAGGGATGGCAGCAGTGGGCGCACCCCGGTGCCTGTGCACTTTGAGCTGGAAAATCACTAAGAGGTACACTTTATGTTATATGCGTTTCCCACAGCTTTTAAAGCATGTTCCCTCCCGCTGGTTTGAACCACAGGAGGAACAGGCATGACCATCTCACCAAGCAGCTTGTACTGCCCAAGGGGACTGTCCCATGCTGCCTGATGGGACAGTCATGCATGTGCCACAGTGGTTCAGAGCCACCCAGCAGCTAGACAAACAAATGACAGCCCTGCTGTGAGCATGTTCATCCTGGGGAAACAAAGGCTCCTGGTCCTGCTGGGTTTCCGCAGGCACTGTGGGAACTGGTTTCTTCATGGATTTGGTTTCATTGGAGCGGAGCCACCTCCTCCTTGGGGCTCTGGTTAGTGCCTGAGGCATGAAGTCTCCTTGGCAGGACCGAGTGGTGCACAGGGCAGGGAAGACAGGGTCCCATGCAGCCAGCCTTCTGGTGCAGGTTTCAGGGTGTGAAGGACCATGGTTCATGGTTCAGGGTCATAGCACCGTATGTATCCTGGGCTTCTGAATGCGTGGACCCACAGTGCGTCCTTGCCCATGCTGGGAGCTGCCCGAAGGACCAAAGCTCCCAGTTCCACACCCTCTTGGAGTTCACATGGAGCAGGAAGATGGGCACTGGCCAGAATCAACTACCCTTTGAAACTGGTTTTCCTTGTCTTCCTTTCCACATGCAGCAGCAAATGTATCTCAGCAGAATGGGTGTGTGAGGTGACTCCACCGTGGTGGCCTTTGTCCACCAGGAACCTGGGCCTGTGCCACCCGTTCCCCTCTTTCCAGCTGACTCTGCTGGGCCTTCAAGCCTCGATGGCCCTCTGACCTTTTGCTAGATTCACAGGCTCTGAGAAAGAGCCCCTCTCCCTCCCCAGGTGTCTCCTGCAGGCGGCTGTGTCTTATAGCTGCTCTCCAACAACTGTTCAGATCCGAAAGTCTCTAGCTCTGAAGGATCTTTTCAGACTAAAGAGCCAATTCCTGCAGCCAAAGTTCAAATCTAAACCATAGGGCTCTTTGATTTCAGTGAGCTCTGTCTTTGGATGACAGAGCTCCCAAAGAGAAGCAGAACCGACCAGGCTCCAAGAGGCCAAGGCGGTGGGCCAAAGTGCGTGCTATCTGCAGACAGAGCTGACTCAACTCTCCTTCACAAGCCCTTGGGCAGCACCCAGCCTGGTGCCAGGGTCCGTTAGGGGCTCCACAGAAAGCAAATGAATGTCCAACCACCCCCTGGCAGCCTGTCATCCTTAACGTGGCACTACTCCAGAGCAGCAGAATTTCTGATTGGCACTGAATTTGAGTTGTGATGCTCACAGATGGAAGAGTAAACTAGTGAAGTGGGATGATGGACTTTCGTCCCAATTTTGCTGTTAAATACCTTGCTAACCCTCCAGCAAGGCTTTTGATCTCAATTTTTCTCATTTATGAAATCAGGAGAAAAGAGATCTGTAAAGTACATCAATATGAGAAAGAGAGAGAAAGAGAAACACTGAAATGCTTACTGGTGATGTCGCAATTTTTTTTTACCCAGCAAAGTCTATGTGCAAAGCTGAGCAGGGGAAAGTGAGACATTTGCATAACCACAGGGAGAGTCCCTCTGGAATCTCCTGGCTCATTTGGCTCTGAGCGCCAGGTAGAGCAGAAGGACACAAAAATACAAAACAGTCCCCACTTCCAAGTGCACCAAAAGTAAATGGTGGGAAGGAATCAGGTCTCAAGTTGGTAGGAGCAGCGGGGGCAGCCTGTCTTGGTGACAAAGTGTTGTTAATGGAAAACACACTCCGCCTGGTGAGATGGTAACTCTGGCCCCGCTCTGCCCGGTCACAGAGGAAGCCCCGTGCTGAAGCTTCTGCACCCCACATCCCAACTTGTGAGTCAGACCCAATGCCCTGCTGGTGTCGCCAGCCACCACGACTCTTTGCTTTAGTAGAAATGGAAATTAAAACTACAGCACAAATCAGCAGGGGGAAAGCTCTCTGGAAAGTTAGGGGGTGAGAGGGAAGGACTCCAGCTCCCACGTAGGGATTGGAAAGGCAGGACACCAGATTTCAGGGAGCTGCTGGTCATCGTGTCATCCCCGGCGTCAGGACGACGTGGCTGAGTGAGGGACGGCTCTGTCCCAGAGCAAGGGTTCTGTCTGTGGTGATCTCGGTCACATGGGCTCTGCCTTTCCTGGCATCCTGGTGTCCTGGTCACTTAGACTGTGGCTGACACACAATCCCCAACACCCGAAATTTAAATGAGTGGTTTATTTGGGCTCACAGTTTCAGTTCATGGTTGACGGCCTCCAGGGTAAAACGGCAGTGCAGAGGAAAAGCTTCTCACCTCATGGCAGCCGAGAAGCAGACGGCAAAGAGAGCTGGGGCGGATGCACCCTTCCCGGTCAAGCCCCCGGCACCGCCTCTTCCAGCCAGACCCCCCCTCCCAACAGCAGGCAGCCTTATTGCCCCATAATTCAGTTAATGTACAGAGCCCCACCCTAGCATACGAGGCCTTGGGGGGGGGCGTTCTGGATCTAAACCATAATGCCAGGCGATCACAGCTTTCGGACAATGGCTGGGGGCTTCTGGGTGCAGCTGAACATCCCTGTAAACCTCTTATCTTGGGGTTCTCAGCCTTGAAGGGGCTGAGACCATGTACACTCAGGGCTTATCAACCCCGTCTGGCCACCTCTGAGAAGGACACTCCCTGAAAGATAAACATACCCCGAGGGAGAGCTGAGAAGGGATTTGAGCCGAGATTGAGAGTAACAAGCACTGCAAAGTGAAGGCCAAGCTTTGTTGTGTTTCAGTGACTTTCTGGGCATCTGTAGACCCAAGTGAGAAGTCAGGGTTCGTAGCAAAAATGGCTTTCAAATCTGTGATGTCCCACAAGAAAACACAAATCATGTTGTCGGTGAGGAGCAGGTGAGGAGCAGGTGAGGGCCCAGGATTCTGCCTGTTCTCCATCACTGGGGTGGTCCCTGACTGTGTCATGACGACATCAGGAGGTGATGTCCCAAGGGAGACGGTGAGGGTTCCCAAGGGACAGTGTGTGGATCGATTTTGGAAACTGCCGATGGGAGCGTTCTCACAGCCCTTCCTCATCAGGAAGCCCTGAGGCCCCACCAACTTCAAGAACTTCCTACCGGGTCACTGAGCCCCCAGCTGGCTCCAGGCTCCCTGCTGCTCCTGCTCCACCCAAGAGGCAGAACTTGGCCGTCAGCCATTTGGGTCCTGGTGTCTGACTCTCTGGGTTCCCAGCCCAGCTCTGCCACCCATGGGGGTCACGGGGTTTCTTTGCTGTGCCTCCATCTCCTCCTCCGTGACCTGTGGGTGACATGGGCAGCTATGTCACCACTGTAGTTGACACCCCAAATCCTCTCCCCATCGCATCCCCTCTTCCCACCCAGAGGAGCTGTGTGCTCACCCTTTTCCTATCCTCTTCCTCCATCTAAAGTCCCTAAACAGTGGGAATGAGCCAGAAGCACCTTGAAGCCTGGCCGCCTGGCACCTCGCTCGGGAAAGGACTGAGAGGTAGTAGCTAGCGTGGCACAAAGCCCTGCCGGCCAAGCACACCCTCAGCTGTCACCACCCCACCAGGTCTGAATTTTCATCTCTTTAGGCTGGGAAGGTGCTAATGTTTCTAGGTAGACCAGCAGGTCCACGCTCGCGTGAGGCCTCTGATTACCAGGTCTGGCTCTGCCAGGGGCCGAGCCGCCTCTCCTGGCACCTCCTCTCCTCCTCCAGGCCGAGATGAGGCTGCAGGACCAGCAGCTGGCCAGGCAGCTCATGCGCCTACGCAGCGACATCAACAAGCTGAAGATCGAGCAGACCTGCCGCCTGCACAGGAGGATGCTGAACGACGCCACCTACGAGCTGGAGGAGCGGGATGAGCTGTCCGACCTCTTCTGCGACTCGCCCCTGGCCTCTGCCTTCAGCCTGTCCACTCCGCTCAGGCTCATTGGCGTCACCAAGATGAACATCAACTCCCGGAGGTTCTCCCTCTGCTGAGGAGCCTCGGGCGCAGGGATGGGGTGGGGCCCGGGGCCAGGCGTGGCCACCTCCTCCTTCCTCCATGGCCCACATTCCTGTGTGCTGGACTCTCTGGTGCTGTGAACCGGCGTCCCACGCAGGGCTCCAGGACTTTGTTCTCACAGGAGGCTCCCGGGGGGTGTGGGAGACGGGAGGTGATCGGGCTACTCCTCCTGTGCTGGGGCCACCCGAGTCCCAGCTCTGAGTAGGTGACTCGGTGACCTTGATGGGGACCCACCAGGACCAGAACACCAAAAGATAACAGGGCTCTTCAGCTGGCAGCCGACCCCTGGCAAGTACCGTCCAGGCTCCTGGCAGGCTTTGGGCTTGGCACTGTATGGCCCTGGAGATTTTCCCAGAACGGCCTAGACGTGTGATGACCACTCAGTGGTGCAGCTTGGATGGAGCAAGTCCAGACACCCTGTCGCCTCCCCTGACCACATGTGCCAGTCACAGCCACCAAGGGCCTTTGCACCGTCACCCACATCCGCCAGGAGCACCTGGCAGGCTGGGAACTGATTTCTCATAGCCAAATTTTCCAGGACAGCACGGCTCTGAGAGTGTCACCCACAGCACCTCCTTGTCCCCACCAGAGACACCATCCAGGGAGCCCAGAAGCCACCTCTGAGGCTGTGCCTAACCTCAACAACTTTCTTAAGACTGTCGCTCTGTCGCTAGCTCGTTAGTAACTGTTGGGTCCTCGTCCAAACTGGGAGCCAGAGAGTAGATCAAGCAGAGTCTGGGGTTGGGCTCAGAGTTCCCGGGGTCGGCACAGTGATAGCCGAGCTGGTCCTTGCCCGACGCCACATGGTGCCTGGTGTGACCCCGAGGTCAGGAGTCCCCCCGGCCCTCCGAGGTGCTAGTGGAGCCCTCTCACTAACGACGTGGGTGGTGGCTGGCTCAGTGGCTGTGGAACCTGAAGTGTGAAGTGCTTGTGAGTAGGATCCCACAGGTCACACATCAATGAGCTTGAACCCCAAAGATGGCCCTGCTGCTTTGCCAAGTCCACAGACCACCAGCCCCTCTCCCCTCCACCCTGCTCAGCCCCACCCAACCCTCCGCTCTGCAGTCCCGAGTGCCTGGCTGATGCGGGCTGGTGACCCAAGAGCACACATTCCCTCATCCCCACCCCGAAGTCTAACCAGGCTGACGGAAGCCCGCGCCTCCTTTCTTCCCTGCCATGGTGGGGGAACCACGTGGGCCCACCTGGGGAGGGGCTGGTTTGGGGCGGCTGAGGGTGGGAAGATGCAAATGAGTGGCCCCAAGTAGCCAGAAGGGAACACGGTATCTTCATGGTGATCTCAAAGAGTCAGAAAGTTAGTGCTTCTGTCAAAGAAGGTAGAACCATGCAGTCAGGGTTTCTTGTCACCCTGAAGTCCCAGGCACGCATCCAAGGTCCCACATCACACTCCTGAGGGGACTGTCACCGCCTGTCCTGTCACCTCCATCCAGACCATGCCAGAGTCCTCCCCTGGTGACACCCACACTGCAGAGAACGCTCGCGGGAAGCCCATCCATATTCTGGAAAAAGCCCAACTGGTCAGTCTTCCTTTTAGAAATCAGTCATTACGGTAGGAGGAAAAGTGGCACTGAAGGAAGGTGGGTGCTGAGTTGGGTGTAATTACAGCCATAGATCTGCTGTGCTGAAGAGCTTGGGCTCAGTTAACCCAGATTTTCCCTCCTCTCTGTTCCCTGGGAAGAAACCAACCCCAGGCACACAGTTTGGCATAGGTGAGATGTCTCAGCTGTTTTGTGTAGTTCATCCTGGGGATTTTATTTTGGGATAAGTAGGGGAGGTGGGGGGATCAGAGAAGTGGAGGGAAAGACATGTTTTCCTACACACAGTCCAGTGTCTGTCAGTACCTGCCTTCCACAGTGAGCACAAGCAGCTGCCTGAGTCGTTCAGCTCTGTCCGTGAAGTCCCTACTTGTGTGGGCAGCAACATGCTGGCCCCACATCCAGCTCACCACGTGAATACAACACTGCTTGTAGTTTTGCCCATTCGCCATCTCCGTGCCATCCCTGAGGATGTCAACACAGAGTCAGTGCCACGCTACCACGAGTGGTCTTGCCCAATGCCTTCATGGGCTGCCTTCCTGGGCTCCATAGAAATCACAGAAGCCTAGAGGGTGTGGGCAGGCTCCACCATGGCCTGGCCTCGCCCAAGACCTACCCTGTAGCAATACCAAGTGCTATTACATAATCGATGGACAATTTACAATTTTATTTTTTATGATTATGTTTCTATATTGCTGTTAGATAAAGTGAAATAAAAATATTTCAAAAGAAGATGTCCATATGAAGAGAGACATTTACTTCCTTTTAGCTTGTCCCTGTTACAGCATTGAAAGGATGGATGTGTGCATGCACGGATGGATGGATGGATGGACAAATCAATGGCTTGATGGATGATGGATGGATGATGGACAGATGGGAATCAATAGATTGATGATGGATGGATGATGAATGATGGATAAATCAATGAATAGAGGATGGATGGATCAATGGATGGATGAATGATCTGAGTGATCAGATACAGTTGTGGTGGGAGGAAATGACCAGCATCACTATTTCTTTTACCTGCCTTCCCCCAAGCAAGGCTGGTACCATTAAATCCCACAGGGAATACACTGGGAACTCAGGATGTGGAGTTAAGAGACACAGGTATTACTCCTGCATTTGACCATAGCTAGAGTCAGGTCAGTCCATTTCTCAATAGCTTTTGCCACAAAGAGACAACACTGCCATGCTCTGAAAAGGCTTGTGGCTTTAATATTGTCAGCCTCTTACACACCTCTTACAGAAAATGGGAGGTGAAGAAATAAGTGCAGAGAGCCAATAGAGGCCACTGTGTCAAGTAACTTTGCTGTAAAGGGGAAAGAGAAGTGAGCTGAGCAGGGATCAAAGCCAAAAACTTATAGTGAAAGACGCATTCCCAAGAACTATGGGATACACAAGTTCAAAGCGAGGGGGAGTATTCTGAGTATCTGAAGATGATTAGTGAAATGTCTTTTACTGTCATAAATTTTTAAGTTTGAATACTTACCCTATCTTTTGGTCACTCCTCATTGACCAAATGTTTATGGCTATTTTGTCAAAAACACGATGCTGTGTCCTCATCCACCTTAGTGGTAGGATCTGGTACTGTGTGACTTCTGGCTCCTCCCTAAAGTCAAAATGACCACGAAGGGTAAATGTTTCAAGTCGATTCAGGACATGAGGCAGCCAGGACAGCACAACAAAAGACCCTCACGAAAGAGGACTCCAGAGCTGCTTCAGAAAGTGGCAGGGACAGTGGGTGTGTGATCAAGCAAGGGGGAGGATTTTGAGGGGGATTCATGGCAATGTGCCTTTTACTGTAATAAGTCTTTTAAAAACTTTAAACACGCACCATATCTTTTTTTCATAGCAAGAAGAAGGCAAAGGTGCAGCCACCGATGTGCGGGTTGGTGCTGTGAGCGCTGGCAAAAAGAGGAGGCTGGGGCATTGCTCCTATTTCTCTGTGAAACAGGAATGAATGGAGGAGCCCTTCGAGCATCTACCTGGAAGCACTGGGGCCCCCTCTGCTCACCCTGCCTTCACCAAAGCCAGTCCAGGGCAGACCCCGACTCCCAAGGGTGGGAAGCACTCACCACCCCGTCCCCAGTGGAGAAGAGGCGGAGCGGGCACGAGTGGCCTCGTAACCTGCACCCAGGCTGGGCCCGTGCCCTGAGGTGGCCTGGGCCGGCAGACCTGACATTAGTCAGCACCTGGCAGGCGACAGGAGGATGCCGTTAGAGGTGAGAAGGAAAGATGACAACTTCTGCGGTATTTTTAGCCTCTTCCTTTCCACTTTCAGTTTGCTGTAAGTGTGCATAACCTTGGCTCCGCAGCACATGATATGGTGTATAAATCTGCAGGGCACACAAACCTTTTCACGGATGGAGGCAAAATCAAGCAGCCCTTGTCTGCAGCGACACCTGCTGGATTCCACCCACTGTGGCCTCGGCTGTGCCACTCGGGGCGGGGGACCAGGCTTCTTTCCCCTGAGAGGTGGCCGTGAACACCCTATGTGGGCAAGGAGGGTGGGTGCCCCCACTCCTGTGCTCTGGGACAGGCACGACCCGGGTCAGAAGCACCAGGATCTCGGTGCGGAGAGAGAAGGAAATTGAGAAGGGAGAGGAGAGCGGGAGGCGGCCGAGAAACCAAGGAGGGTCGAGCAAAAGCAAAGTCAGGTCAGGCGCGTTTTGTAAGACTGAGAATTAGCCCCAAATCTGGAACCATGAAGCAGCCAGCACCGCCCCATCTTTAATGCTCCAGCCAGTTATAAGAACAGGGGCCTGAGTCACAATTTCCGAGCTTGAGGCTCAGGGACAGGAGGATCGCAGGCCCCACGGCCCTCACCAGCTCCACAGCTGCCTGCCGGAGACGGGACTCACACTGCCTGTGCCCTGTGCCCCTTCACCTCGTCCCGAGCACTCTGCTCTGCCAAGCTGCCTCTGCTCTGCCCGTCAACGTAAGAGTTCTTGCGGGCGCCCCAGGCGTCAAAGCTTGGTTTCTTTTTAAGGAAGAGCAGTTTCTGTTTAAGACATTTCGGGGCTTCTATTCCTAGCAGACAGGAAAAAACTCCACCAGCGCGCTCCTCTTCAGTGACGCAGCTGGAGTCGGGTGAGCCAGGCCCTCGCAAAGACCCCTTCCCGGCCTGCTGGGGGCGTGCGGAGGGCGCCAGTTGCCTCTGGAAGGGCCAAAGCTGGGCTTGCTGACGTCACTGCAGCTGCTGGGACCCGGACCCCTCGCAGGAGGCGACCCCAGGCAGCCGGACTGCAGGACACAGACTCCAGGAACCTGGGCCCCAGAGGGGTGACATCCTCCACTTCGAGGGGCAAAGCAGAGCCGCAAGGAACAGTCTGGGGGTGAAGAAGGGAACATGCAGGCTTGCCGTGACGAAATGGGGCTCAGAATGGTATCACACGAAACATTAAAAGAGGCACGGTCTTGCACTGACCCCAAGCCGAGGCGGGGCCGACCAGATACGGCAGTGCACGCCCTCAGCACCGGGGCTGTAGCCACCGGGGCAGAGGTTTTCCTGTTTCAGACAAAGAAACCGGTCGGGAGCTGGGGATCGCCAAGGTCACCGGCGCTGGAGCAGGCCCGCCGCCTCCTGACTTCGCATCGCCTCTTCCCGCAGCTTTGCGCCCGCACTGCCCTGCCCCACGCACAGCAGAGGTCTGGGGAATCAAACCCGCGGCTTTCTGCCCCTAGAGTGAAGGCCGGGGAGTTTTGGACCTACCCCTCCGATCCGCTGCTCAGGGAATCCCAAGCTGCCCCCTGCTGGAGAAACAGGGGTCTATACACTCGCGGCGCTGGTGTTTTCTCGGCCTTCTGCGGGAATGAATACTCCAAGTTCGGATGCCAGCGTCCATCGCTCAAAATCCAAACCTCCAGTCGCAGCACGGCGTCACAATCCAATCCAATCCTGCGAACACTTGTAAATATGGACCGCGGGCCACCCCCGGGGAGGGAAGCGACCAGAGGCTGAAAACAGAACACTCGGGTGTCTTTCGCGCCGCCTGTGCGCTCCGGGTCTCCGCTCTGGCGCCGGCCTTTATAAAGAAGATTAAACGGCCCTTATCAGCCCGAAAGCAGCGATATATGTTTAAGTCTCTGCGCCATTAGATGCTTGCCTTCTAATTTTTCAAAGCTGCGCTTCCTGGTGGGCAGAGGCAACGAAGCCCTTACGGCTCCCTGTCGTTCTCACCCGTCAGCCCCCCGGCATCTCCGGATCCCGCCTCACACTGGCCTCACCCAGCTCGGGGCCGGCCGGGCCTTTGCCATCCTGAAGCCGAGGCCTGGCGCCCCCTGCAGGAGGGGCGGTGCTCTCTCGTCACTGCGTTTTCCCCTGGCTCCTCATGCCCACCTCCGCCTTCCTCAGAAAGATTCCACATCCACATCCACAACCACATCCACATCCATCCACTTTCCTCCCGCGCGTCCGGTACAGAAAGACGCCACTCACAAAAGGCCGCCTGCTCCTGGGCCCTTCTCCCTGGGCAGACGCGTCTCTGCTCTTCTAATCTTCATGAGCTCGCCTGCTTTTGCTGTTTGCCTTTAGGAGAAGATGTCTCTCAGACTCTCTCCTCTGTCTCTGTGGCTCCATCTTGCAGACAGCCAGCACACCTGGGCCTCACCTGCCCCAGGCCACACCCACAGAGCGCTACAGGCAAAAAAGGTCTACAGAAGAGGCCAGGTCCGTATCCTCTCACACAAATGCTTGCATGGACGGATGGATGCATGGATGGATGGATGAATTGAGACAGGGTCTCCCTATTTAGCCCAGGCTTGCTTTGGACTCACTATGTAGCCTATGTCAGACTCAAAACTTGCAGAGATCCTCCTCCCTCAGCCTCCTGAGTGCTGGGATTACAGGTGTGAGCCACCATGTCTGGCTTAATAAATGCTTTTATTTTAAAACGATTTCTTTTCCTTTTTGTTTTTTGGTTTGGTTTGGTTTGATTTTTTTTTCTTTCTTTCTTTCTTTTTTTTGAGACAGTGTCTCATTATGTGGTTCAGAACGGCCTTGAACTTACTAAGTAGGCTGGCCTTGAACTCGTGGTGATCCTCTCGCCTCAGCCTCAGGCTTTCTTGGGCTTAATATCACACACACACACACACACACACACACACACACACACACACACACACACACACACACTGGGTTTACGACCCCCTTTTGTCTGTTTCTCCATGACCCTGCGCGTCTTCTGCAACGCAGACTTAGCACCGGAAGACACGGCTTTCCTGGGCCTTCAGTCTTCACTCCCAAAGGCTTTTGTGCTAGGTGGGCTTTGGCTAAGTAAACCCGTCGTGCTTTTCTCTTGCTCCTGTCGGCTGCTGTGGGTGTCACAGCCCACGCGGGGGTGGGCGAGGGCCTGGCGGAAGGAGCTGCTCAGGAACAGCAGAGGCCAGCAGAGGCCTGCAGAGGCCTGCAGAGGCCTCGCCCTGTCCCTCCAGTCTCCTCCTCGTCTGCTTGGGCCTGCTCCGAGGGCCGCTGCTCCTCCCACGCCCCGAAAGAAGGACGCCCAGACTCGCATTCTCCAGCTCAGCCGTGCTGGCGAGAAGTTTCTCCCTTCCGTTGTCCCTGCGTCTTCGTCACAGTGTTTCCCTCGCGTGTCTCTGCCGGAATCTCCTCCTCTTACAAGGCCACCCATCCTCTGTGCTGTGAGAACCCCGCTCCGAGTAAGGCCACACGCTGAGGTCAGGACCACGGCGACGAAAGGGGGCGCCATTCAGCCCGTCAGGAGCCTCACCTGGAACCCCATTCCCAAGAGGACTGGACAGCAGCTCCGGTTCAGGGAAAGCGCTGCGCAGGGATATAACAGAAACGCTGACCAGGGCGCTAATGGTGGAACCTACCTCCCGCGCCAGCTTCCCTGTCCCCTGGGTTAAAGGAATTTACGATTTCGCGGCGATGGAACAGTATATGAAATGCACAAGTCGCCAGGCACTTGCTTGCCTGGTCCACAGTGCATGAAACCACAGCCATTTCCATCAGCACAATTGGTTGTGTGTGTGTTTGTGTGTGTGCGCGTGCGCATGCCTAAGAGCAGCAACGGGAAACCACACCTCAAATGTCATTTTCACCTTTTCGTGGAATGGTATTTTAGGCCCTGAGCTTATGAGCTAAGATTAATTTTTATATAAGTAACAGAATGCCAAGAAAAAGGAGCATTGTTCTGGGAGTCCATTGGTCTGGAGTGAGAGGCCTGTCCTCAGACCCAATCTGAGTTCAGAGGTTGCGAAGCCCCTTCCCCTCTCCAGGACTCAGGTTTTTCATGCATAAAATGAATGTGGAGCTGGGTAGGATGGCCCACACCTGTTATCCCAGCTCTTGGGAGGCTGAGGCAGGAGGATCACAAGTTCAAAGCCAACCTGCAATTTAGCAAGACCCCGTCTCAAAATAAAATAAAAAGGGGTGGGGATGTAGCTCAGTGGTAGCACTCTTGCCTAGCATGCTTAAGGTCCTGGGTTTAATCCCTAGTACCGTAGTGCAAAAATAAAAAATAAAAAGAGTTCTCAGGGTTGGAAAGATCTCTAAGATACTGTTAAGTAAAGAAAGAAAGAAAGAAAGAAAGAAAGAAAGAAAGAAAGAAAGAAAGATGCATATGCACCCTAAAGAATAGAATGCAGGGCCTCAAAGACATGTCCACTGACATTCATAGCTGCGTTATTCACAGTAGCTAAGACCTGAAGGAACCCGAGCATCCATCAGCAGATGGGCAGATAAGCAGTGTGATCCATGCATGCAACAGAACACAATTCAACCTTCAGATGAAAGGAAACTCTGACATGCGAACACGTGGGTGAACTTTAAGGACCCTACGCTGAATGAAATACGACAGCCGCAAAGAGTGTGATCCACTGACAGGAGGCGCCTAGCGTAGCCAAGTTCAGAGACCAAAGTGGAAGGGGGTTGTGGGGTGGGGATGGGGACACAGAATAATCCACGGTGCCACTTGCAGTGTTGTGAGCTGAGAAGATTCTGGTGGACGGCGTTGAGCCCTGTGCAGTGATACAGATGCACAGAGCAGCTGAATGTGTACTTGGAAATGCTCAGATGGTAAATTTTATATGCTGCATATTTTGCCACAATAAAAAAAAATGGGGATAAAGCAAGGTGTGCAAGGTTCTCGAGTACATAATTTGTTGTAACCAAAGCGAGGAGAGGACTCCAGTATTTGATTTGCTTGGATGTGCATTTCAAAGCTCTGGAAAGACGCATACAAAACTAAGAGCAAAGTTGACCCTGGGAGGTGTGGGAACTGGGCAGATGGAAGGCCAGGGTGGACGTGGCATTTGTCACAGTCCCCTTGTTTAGAAGTGCTGGTTCTATATAAATAGGTATCAGAAACTCCCAGCTGCATACAGAAAACCAGAAATGCCCCATTTTGAGGCTTGCATAATGGCCACATGACCCCATCTTTCCCACAGGGGTTGCCTTGACCTGTCACGGATCAGGGGTTTGCTTTCTGCCTTATCGCACTTGAAACTCAGCAGGGGCCCTCAGGCCAAGCCAATCAAACATTTGCCCCGAAGGGCAGTGGACCTGGCCCCTGGACTGGCTGGCAGTGGGCCGTCCCTCTGGGGTGGGTCCCACTTCCTCCCTCCAGGATGGTCGCCTTGGGCTGTCCAGGGCTGGTGGCAGTGCCCAACCTGCCTGCCAGGTCCCGTCTGACAGGATGAGCTAGGCATCTCCTCCCACACGGGCTGACCACTGCTGCTCTGGGTGCTGCCCGGAGATGTGAGAAGCCACAGAGGAGAGGCGCACCCCCCTTCACCCCAAAGTAACTGCTCTGTCTCTCCTCCGCTGCCAACACAGGCCCCGAGCCCCCCACCCCCACCCCAGCTCCCAGGGCCTGGCCCTCCAGTCCTGTCCTCCCCTCGGCTGCCGGTGTCACCCACCGCAGCCCATGCCTCAAGCTTCCGCTCCCTAGCTGCTCAGTACTGAGGACTTGCTTCATGACAACGCCTGTCCTGCAGTTCCGAGGGAGGTTGGCCCCAGGACACCTCACGGACACCAAAGTATACAGACACCCACTCTCTCATATAAAACGGCACAGATGCGCTTCCACCCGCACCCATCCTGCGTGCACTATGAATCATCTCTAGGTGACTGAGATCCGCACAATGTAAATGCTGGGCTGTTATTTTTCAGGGAATAACAACAAGAAAATTTTTTTACCTGTTCAGTACAGATGCAAGGGTTTTTTCCTTAATATTTTTCATTGACAGCTGGCTGAATATGAGGAGGCAGAACCATGAACGTGGAGGCCCATAGTCTGGAGCTGTACATTTTTGCGCTTACTGAGCAGTGCGCTTTCACTATATGCACGTTCCATATGTATGTCATACGCACTATACAGTTTCACAAAAGCTAAAACAGAGAAAAGGAAGACTGTAGTTTCCAAAAAAAACTAAAAAAGAAATCTATAGTTTTTTAAAAAACAACTAAAAGGGCCGGGGATTTAGCTCAGTGGTTCCGCCACCTGCTGCGCAAGCGCAAGGACCCAAGTTCGATCCCTGGTACCAAAAAAAAAAATAAAAAATAAAAAAATCAAACCTATAGAAAAAAATGTGAGGTGTTTAATAAAATGTAAGTTATCTCTCATAATATAAGGTGAGATCAAAAACTACTGTGAATGTTTCAATTTTTTTAAAAAAATTCATTACCGTAAAAGACACATTGCCATTAGTCCCCTTCAAAATCCTTCCCCTCGCTTCATTTTTTTGCTGTTGTTTTTTGGTACTGGGACTCGAACTCAGGACCTTGCACTTGCCAGGCAGGTGCAGGGCCACTGAGCTACATCCCTGCCCCTCCCTCTTACTGCAAACGCGCTCATCCCTTCATGCTTGTCACTTCCTGAGGCAGTTCTGGAGGTCCTCTTTCATGGGGGTCTTCGGCTGCCCTGTCACGGCTGCTTACCTTTCGTGGTTATTTTGACTCTGGGGACCAAGCAGAAGTCACGCAGTGCCAGGTCAGGTGAATGAGGTGGACTGGGGCACACTGAGATGCTTTCACCAGCCTGCCTTTCTGTTGGCTGGTGCTCAGCAGCAGCATTCACTGTATTTTGATCACATAAAAGAACTTCCAGAGTTGCTTCGGAAAGTGCCACGAATGGAGGATAAGTGTGTTCTAAGTGAGGGGGAGGCTTTTGAGTGGGACTAATGACCGTGTGTCTTTACCATGATACATGTTTATATGTAAGCATTTGTTGTATTTTTTGATCACCCCTTGTACTGAATCTGCTCCTCCCATCTTACCAATCCCTTTCATTCTCTACTGTCTCAAACCCTTTCCTTTCCAAGGTCCTAAAATGGTGACTCAGACGCCACTGCCTCCTCTCCTCACTTGCTGTTCCTGTCTGAGCCCCTGGGGTCCGATCTCCCAGCCTCCCAGCCTCAACCCCATCAGTTTCTGAGGCCTGGAGCGGGGATCCCACCAGCCACCTCCTTTTCCCACCGCTGAGCTTTCTCCTGAGGCCCTTGCCAGTCTCATGGGTGCACGAGGGCCTTCTGTGGGTGCCACTGCAGGCCACAGGTGCTGGACATGGTAAACAGCAGTGAGCTTGCCTCAGAGCTACCTGGAGGCTTCTGAAGGGACCCCTCAGCCCCGTCCTGCAGAAGAGACAGGCAGGACGAGCCACAAGGAGGGTCTGGTCTCCCAGACCAGGCCATGTGCCAGGCTCTCCCCACACCTCAGTCTGTTTGATCCCTTGCAGCGAGTTCAAGGGCAGCCTGGACACAGCCAGACCCTGTCTCAAAAAACAGCAATCGGAGAACATCTCTAAAGTGCTGTGTGTTCAAGAGTGAGCGGGAGAGCTCTAATGCAGAACACGCCCCTCATGGAAACAGTGTTCAGAGGGGACAGGTGACAGAAGCTCACAAAGGCAAAAGGACCAGGGTGACGCCAGTGGTTTTGAAACAATGATCTTTGGCCACAGGGATCAACAGCAAGGGTTCTCGGGGTCAAAGGCAAAGGTGGTGCCCCTCAGAAGTCGAGCAGTCATTGGATGGACGGCTGGGCGGAAGTGCTCTCCACGCAAGCTTGGGGCTGCAACAGACCCTTGGCCAAAGCTCTTGTCATCAGGTGCACAGGCAAGATCTCCCCCTCTCAAGCCTCCTGGCTTTCTTTGTTTTGTATTTGTGTAGGGCTTGACTCAAGGTCTGCTTGGACACCGACAACTCTCACAGGTAATGGAGCGGCTTCCCAGACTTTCCTGTGCCCACAGTTTTCCAGCAATCTTGTGGGTTGGGCCGCAGCTGGTCTGGGGTGCCCTTCTAGCAGGCCTGGGGGGATCCCAGGGTGCCTACGGCTGGGGTTGCTGGTCAGAGGAGCTCGCTGTGAGCAGCAAGGCAGGAAGGGGACAGAGCATGTACAAATGCAGAGAACACGGGGTTCCCTGCTTTAAAGGTGGCTCAGCTAAGGGCAGGAACACCCGGGGGCCCCGTGTCTACCTCCCATAGACTCTGCCTCAGCCTGGGAGCCACCTCACCGGGGAACCCTCACCTGGAGGTGCTGCCTCCGTTCTACCAACATTGACCAGACACAGAGCTCGGCCCTCCACCTGGTCCTCACAGAATCAACCCTGAAGAAACCCCACTCACCATGTGAGGAGGCAGCAGGGAGTGGTCTCACCTCACACCCAGGCTTCGGCCATCTTGCTGACTTCTCAGCGCTCCAGGTTCCCTGGAAACCACGTCCCAGACATGCGGGTCCCTGGGAAGTGTGACCCAGTCCCGGCTCCAGGGCTCCAGAAGTTTCCCTGCTGCGGGGGAGCAGCTCTGCCTTCGCCAGGCCTCTGGCTTGCTGGGGAAGAAAATGTTGGCCTTCACACTGCATCCGCTCCACGACAAGTGTTTGCAGCTCTTTGCAAAACCTTTGTTATGGCTCCGCCATCTCTCTTGGTCTCTCATTTAAATTTAAAAAATTAAAATTAAAATTCTCTCCCTGTGGACTAGAGAAAGACCAAGCTCAATAATTCCCCTCTCCTTTCCCTGCTGTCTCCCCCTCTCCCAGCCAGAGCTGCTCTTCCTGCTGCCCTGGCTCCTATCTAAGTCTGCCCTGCACAGGCCATGCCTGTGGGTGCCAGGGGGCGCAGCTTCTAGTTCTGCTCACAAGCAAACTCAGAGGCACAACCACCCAACTAGAGCAGCAGACTGGCCAGAGCTGGGGTTGCTTTTTGGCCTGCTTGTCCCTGTGGCCTGGGATCTGACCCCAGGAGTGGACTCAACCCTTCGTGCCTGTCCTCACCCGTGTAAACAAGGACCACCCATCCCACCTGACCATGTGGGTCTCGTTTCCCAGGAATGCCCAGCATGGCCTCCCGCCCCCCGTTGTGAAATTCATGTCACAGAGAAAGAAGCTGGGGCCCTCCTTGCTTTTCTCACGTATGATTTTGGCCACGGATCACTCCTGGGACAACCGCCCATCCAGCCCAATGGGCTCCAAAGCCTGCAAAGCCTCCCCTCCTGTGGTCCAGGCCAAACCCCAAACATGTCTGGAAAATGTCCACAGGCCAAGCCTGGAAGAACAGTGGCTCTGGATGAGGGACCTCGAGGAGCCCCAGGCAGAGGAGAGACTCTGCCCTGGAGCCACTGCGGGTCCTTGGGGAAGAGAAGGTCACCTGTCCTGCATGAGGAAGTGAGAAAACTGCCCACCTCCCCCTCAGGACCTGGCTCTTCAGCTCTGCACCCACAGAGGGAGAAGCTACTGTGCCCTTCACAGGAGCGATGGTCGGGTCTTGAATGTCCCCAGGAGGGACATGCATCCCCAGCCTGTGGTGCCAGGGGAAGGAGATGAACCCTTAGGAGGGGGCTGGTAGGAGGAAGTTAGGCCATTAGGGGGTCTTGAGGGGACCCTGGGCACAGCCCTTCCCCTCTCTGTCTCTGCCTCCTGGCCACATGTCGGTGAGCAGCTCTGCTCCTTCATGTGTGCCCCACTGTCACATGCTCCCTCACCACAGGCCCAACAGCCATGGAACCACTGAGCCATGGACAGAATGCTCTGAAGCCGTGAGCCAAAATAAACTTTTCCTCCAACTAAGCAGACTATCTAGGCATTTTGTTACAGTAACAGAAAGCTGACTGATACAGCAGCACATAGATCCCTGAGCCTGCAACCTCCCTTTCTCCACCTCTGCAGCCAGTGCTGTCACAGCCAGGGATGGTGGGTCACAGCCCATCGGACAGTTGTATCTAATCCAGTGCCCCCGTTCTGACTACACATCTTCACACACGTCCATGGCTTCTAGAAACCAGATCTGTTGGGGAGCCAAGCTTGGAAGAGCAGTGGCCCTGAGAGGGACTCAGAGGGCCGAAGGCAGGGAGAGATTCTGCCCTTGACCCACTGCAGCCTTCCATCTTTGGGAAAAGCCCAAGGGCCTGTCAAAAGGAAGGCCGAATACACCTGCTCACTGCAGCGATAAGGTGGCATTGACAGCCTTTGATCTGCCTCATGATCATGGCCCTGTTGACTGTGGCAGAGAGGGGAGGACGCTATCAGTGCCCAAGGCCTGAGCCTTGAGACCTGGCAGAGCGGGGAGAAGTTGAGTGGGGTGGGAGCAGCTCCAGCCTGCACACATGACCTGCTTGTGCTCTTCTGTCACAGCCCACCAGGCCCGGGGATGGCCAGGCCCAGGCCTGCTCCTGGGAAGAGCGGGGAGCAAGGTGCACACTGGTGCCCCAACTTGATTCCCTCAGACTGTGGCTCACCTTTTGGGGTGCCAAGGAGCCCTTTGAGACTGTGGTGAAGGCTAGCACCCTCTCCTGACAAACTGAGCCGAGCTGATAATGCACAGCTTCACTCCTCTGGGGAATCCCAGACACGGTCAGAGGAGGGGAAAGCTACCCGGAAGTGGCCTCTCCTGAGCGGGTCTGTGTTGTGGGGAACTCTGTGTAGAGCCCAGAACCTGGAGCATTAAGCCCAGGGCTATGGCTCCCCGAGGGCCTCACCCCTGCTGAGCTCCCCGCTCCTTGACATCCCTCCCTTGAGACTCCTCGTGCTGACCACAGCGAGGTCACTACACCCACTCAGGGCTGCTGTCCTCTCTTTCCTGCAGGAACCGCTGCAAGCCAGGATGAGTTTCCCTTCTCACCTGCTCTCCTTAAGAGAGCACAGTGCAGCTGTGGGCCCTGATTCTGGGGACAGAGCTGCAGGACCCCCAGGCACACGCTCCTCTTCCTGACTGTCCTCTTCCAGTTCTGATGCACCTTCTCCCAGCCCCCCAGCCCTGCCCACCTCCATTCACACTGGGCCTCACCCACATCCGGGGTCCTAGGCAGCCTGCATGGGCCATGCTCTGTGCCCAGCCAGCTGCCGTCAGACGTAGCAGAGGTTTCTCCAGCTCCTGGGGAACCCTGGCATCTTGCTTCCTGCAGAGTTAAGTACAAGGCCGCAGTTCCCAAGGAGTGGCGGCAAAGAGTATCAGTGCATGCCCCAGCTTGAGAGTCTGGAGCGAGATGGGCTCGTTTCCACCAGGTGGACACAAGGCTGCAGGGATGAGAGCCGACACCTGTCGCTGAGCTACCTTGGAGGCATCTTGCCCAGCAGCTGCAGCCCTCCCTGGCTCCGAGGTGACCTCTCTATGGCTGTATCCGATTCCCAGATTCCCTGAGAGGGAAAGGTGGAATGAAACTTTTTTGGTTTTTTTGTTTTCTTCTTGCAGTACTGGGGATGGAACCCAAGGCCTCCACACTGAGCTACATCCCCAGCCTTTTTTAGATCTTTCTTTCTTTCTTTTGGGGGGGGGGTGGCTTGCTAAGTTGCTAAATTCCCCGGGTTGGGCTTGAACTTGCAATCCTCCTGCCTTAGCCTCCTAGAGGCCTGAATTACAGGCGTGCACCACCACAGCTGGCTACAAAATGGAACTCTGGATTCCAGGCTTTCTGCGGAGGCTGACTTCATCCAGACAGGCAAGGCACCCTTGCACGCACATTCACCTGCCCGCCTGGGCCGGGTGATCCGACGTCATGCCTTTGTGCGCAACACAGCGATTCTCCCCAACAGCATTGTCAGTCTTCCCAGCTGTGTGCGCCCAAGACTGGCTTTTGGCTTTTATTGTTACTAAGTAAGAGAACATGTAAGCTTTCTTAGTTAATTACTAAATCTGGGTTTGTGCTATTTCGTAAAATAATTTAACGTGTTAATTCTGTCCCCCTTTCCCTGTTGTGGCTGGTGTTGTCTTTTTATTTTATTTTTGTTTGTTTATTGTGGTTCTCTGAGACAGGTTGTCACTATTAGGTCCAGGATGGTTTGAACTTTAGATCCTCCTGGCTCATCCTTCTGGGTGCTGGGATTACAGGGGTGCACCACCATGCCTAAGTCCCTTGTTTTAAATGTGAAAATCCTATTTGATGATGTTTCATTAGCGAGAATCTGTACTAGAAATGAGCTACTGGAAAGTTCAAAGATTACATTTATGTTATCCTGGGGTTTTTTTAGATTTTTAGAGAAAAAGTTAAAACGTAAGGAGTTTTGTTTTTTTTTTACTTATACACATTAACCATATATATTTTATACCCAGCCCAAGATAATTCCTCTTCTCTTAGTGCAGCCCCAAAGGACAACCCAGGATATATGGCTCACTGTTTCAGCCCCAGGCACCGCCAGCTGTGAGAACATGGGGTCTGTAGCTGGCTGAACGTTCGCTCAGGCCTGTAGGGAAGCGGACTTCAAAAGGGACCTGCCTGGGAAGAAGGGCGGGCTGTGGGGGGCAGGTGCTTTCCGGACAGAGGGGCTCTGACTTTGTGGTCTGAAGACTCCTTCAGAAGGTTGGGGAATCTCTGCTTTGGGGGGAAGTGGTCTTTCCTAGAAAGACAAAAGCCTGGGCACGCTTGGGTTTCTGTCACTGTGCCAAGATGCAAGCACCATGTTAAAGTTTTTAACTTGAACCGAACTCCTGTTTCACAGAGCAAGAGAAGTTAAGTGAGAGCCTGGATAAGAGAGCTGCAGTTCCAGATGATCAATCGTCTTAGAAGAACTTGCAGCCCCAGTGACTCAGCCTTCTGCAGCCACACATCCTGGGAAAGTGCAAAGGGGAATCCCTCCATCACACACGAATCGGACACGGTAGTTGCATACTTAAATCACATTTAGTAATCCATGCCTCGTCATTTTATAGAATTTATGTCATCTTGATGGGCAGTGATTATCCATTAATTAACTTAATCTCAGCCCAAGGTCTTAAGATACCTAAAAATCTTGGAAATTGTCTTTTTTTTTTTTTTTGGTACCGGGAATTGAACTTGGGTCCTTGTGCTTGCGCAGCAGGTGGTGAAACCACTGAGCTAAATCCCCGGCCCTGGAAATTGTCTTTCGAGTACAAAACTTTAGTTACTGTTGAAAGAAATATTTTGTTAACATAATGACTGAATTTAGTTATAAACTTCCACATTTAAGAATTCTACATGTAAAAAATAAGAACCAAGATACTCATGTAATGGTTCAAGATCCCAATGATGTATGTAAATGTATTTTATACCTAAAATGGACCAATAAACTTAAGGGGGGGGAGAATTCTATATGTTATGTAAATTAAGTAAGCACTTATTGGATGGTAAGTTTCTATAAATTTAGAACAGACAACCCCAGTAAAATTAAATGTATGCCTGATTAAAAAAAAAAAAGTAACATGGCTATTCTTCTAATTAAAATTATTAAGCTTGTCTCATTTACCAAAAGTCAATCTTAATTGTGTAAACTTGGATTCTGAAATGATTCTGACCTGGTATTAGGAATTTAATCTTCTTACTTGGTGGGAATTCTAAGAATATTTATACCAACACTTATTTATCTCTAAAGTCAGTCAAAACAGAGCTGCATTAAATTGAGGGACATTGTAATTCAGGGTTTTTAAACCTTCCAGAAATATACAAACATTTCAAATTCAGAGGCACAGAGGGCTCGCACTGTCATCTCTACAACTTCGGCTCTTGGCGAAGAGCAATTTAGAGGAGGAAATGTCAGGTAAAAGGGCTGAAAACCAAGACCAGACCAGGCCACAACAAGCCTTTATTAGGGGAACAGATCTGCCGAGCTGCCTCTGAACAAAGGAGAGACAAAAAGCGATATGGCTGGGGCAGGGAGAGCCTTTTATAGGGGCGGGGGTGGGGCTTGTAGGGGCTGAGGCGGGGTTGAGTGCGGTAGTGGCTAGGGACTAGGTGGTAGGAGGTGAGCGAGTATTAGGTTACTCTCTGGGTGGGAACAGGGGCATCCTGGGAAGAAAGGTTTGTTCTTTGGTGGGAGAAACCATCTTGGCATGACGTCACACAGGGGCGGGGCCAAGGCACCAGAGGAAGAGGGCAGCTACTGTACATAATAGCTGCTGAGGTGGTGGGAGACCTATCAGAAACAAGGGTCATGCGGTAACTTTGGGAATTCCTTCCCGGCAGACACAGAATTCTTAATTGACTTGAGCTAAAAACAGACCAATAGAAAAACAAGACAAGCCGGGCATGTAGCTCAGTGCTGCAGCACCCGCCTGGCAAGCGTGAGGCCTTGAGTTCAATTCCTGGTACAAAAAAAAAGAAGAAAAACGATGAACAAGATTTTTCTGTCACTCAACAGAAAGTAGACTTTTAAAAAATACGTAGAACCAAATACCTTCATTGCTGCTACCCACAGAGAGCTGCTTACCAGCCCACAGGAAACCAGAAATAAAAGCAAAACAGAAAATCTGTAGAAACGTGGGAAACTCTAGAGAAATGGAGAATGAGCAGTTAGAGCTGTCGCTGTTGGGCCTCGGGAGTCCTAGAAAGGCACATCCCAGCTCACAGCGGAGGCGAGGTGCATTTTCTTGGCTTTAACAGCTGCAAAATAGCTCAAAAATAAGTATTAGTTGTGAAATTGTCTAAAAATAAAATTATCCATAGTAATGGCTGAAAGGCCCGGATGATCCAGATGGGTCGGGTGGTAATCTTTTTGCCCATTTCGAATTCTTTCATAGGATTTCCTCACAGGTAAGTCAAATTTGAGATGCCATTTGTATGACCAAGTAAAAAATTTATCACATTTTAGCCCCTACCACAGTGCATCATAATTGCCTTCTTGGTTTTTTTCTATTTCTCCCCACTAGACTCTTAGTCCCTTAGGAGAAGGACTATTTCTTCTTTAGCCTAGGATCTTCGGCACCCAAAAGATCTCACATCAAGGGAACAGCTCAGATACACAGGGCTGCAGCTCAGTACTCTCCCATTCTGAGGCTCACCTGCTGGTCTTATAAAGACCTTGGAAAGCTCATCCCACAAGGAGATCCCGAGTGTGACCAGGAGGAGCCAGGGAAGCAGGTTGGAGAGGAAGTACAGGATGTGCCAGGATGTACAATGATGAACTGCATGCACCTCTAGTCACAAATACGTGAATGAGAGACTCGATCAATTCCTTGGTCAATTGGTGGTGTGTTTGCTTACAAGACTGAGGTGAGACTCAAGGAAGTAGGAAGGCAGATGTCTTAGAGTAAGGGTAAACTCTCTGGTGTGAAAGAGCAGATGTTGAGGAACAGCAAACTGGCCAGCACTCCCTGCACATAACACAGTAGCAGTGGTGCTGGGAGGAAGAAGTGGGGAGGGGCAGCAGACGGGAGCTGAACACCGCGGAGGGTCTGGTAAGTCCCACAGAGGACGCTAACCCCCCACCCAGGTGATTGGTAGAATATCAATCACTGCTATTTATCCCAGGAGAAGCAATCCTGGCCTTCAGTGAATATGCCTTGGGCCACAATTGTCCTCCATGCTGAAGGCCCAGCCCTGTATAACCAGCTGTAATATCTATAACTAACTTGGCTGTCTACAATACAAGAGCCCCCAATAACCTTCCAGCAAATCCCCTTGGCTTAGGGTGGTCTGTCCCTGTCTGTGCATACAGCCAGGAAGTCTAATTGATGTGGTGCTGTGGTTTGTTTTCCCTTTGTCCTGGCCTTCTCCAGCACTTTGCCCTATCTGACTGCCTATAATATTTCTACCTAGCTCATCTATCTGTAATAGTGGGACAGAAGTGGCGAGAGAGGACATCCTCTTCTCCTTCCTGACTTTAAGGGGAAAGATTGATGCTAGTTTGTAGAGTTTTGGTTTTTGTGGATTCCCTTTATCAGGCTGAGGAAGTTCCTCTCCTAAATTTTTGAGAGTTTTATAAAGACTGGTTTTACGAAATGCTATTTCTTTATTTATTGAGATGTCTTTGCAATATAAATTTTACTTTGGGGTTGTCCATTGCTAGTGTGAGGCCAAAGGTGAACCTAAGCAATGCCATCTTGGCCTGCGAATAAACTCCCCTCATACCCCTCCACTTACAGAGTGCTGGAATTCCCTTAAAGATGTATTTTTTGTAACTGCCCTTCTAACCCGCTCGCTCTGCTTCTGTAGATATGCTTTATCGTTCCCTGAGAACAGATGGTGCCTGGTGCCTCCCTGTAACCGCCTAACCCTGTAGCCATAGAATGTCCTATCTTGACAAGATAGCTGGGTTGTAAAAGATAATTTGCAGCTGGTTGAAGGACATGTTGACCTCTCCCTGAGCTTCTTTGTTTGAGTTACCTATAAAAGCTGTGCTGTCCCCTGCTTCTGGCTTCACTTCTCCTTAGAGGGTAGAGTCCACACGTGAATAAACTCCTTTTAGTCTCACTTCTCCTACAGGGTGGAGTCCACACGTGAATAAACTCCTTTTAGTCTTTGTCCCGGTGTTTGGTGATTTCCTGGCTTGCTTGGCATAACACTAGCATATAGAAACTTCTTTGATATTTGTGTATTGATCTTGTATCCTGCAACCTTGCTGAATTCCTCTTTTAATTCTAAGAGTTTGGTATGTGTCTACATTTTTACTTTTAAACTATTTGTTTTAATTTATTTCAACCTATATAAATGTGCTTTTAATGGACCCAATTATAGCTGAGTTTTTCCATTTCATATCATTTTCAGTTGCACATTAATATGTGTCATATGGAGGGATTGCTGGGGAGAAGATGGATTTTTAACTTTTAAAAGGTAGTGAGAGGGGCCAGAGTTGTAGCTGGTGGTAGAGTGCTTATCTAGCATGTGCAATGTCCTGAGTTTGATCCTCATCACCATAAAAAATAAAAAATAAAAATGAAATAAACAAAAAAGCATTCTGGATTTCAAGAAGAAGTATTGCTGATAGGAAAGTTAATTAGATATCTTGTAGGCAGTTAGACAGGGCCAGACCTCCAGAAGCCAACATGGAGGAGTGAAGACACCTTCACTGAAGGCCAGCACTGTAAAAGGAGAGAAACTACCACACCCATGTAGGATGAACAGCAGTGATTGATATTCTAAACAGGTATCAATCACCTTGGTGAGGGGCCAAGGTCTTAACCCAGCCTCTCCAGGAAATATCCCTGACTCACCCTTACTGAAAATCCTTGTACACCTGCCAAGTGACTTGCTCCCCCACTGACCCCTATTTAATCAATATCACCTGGGTGACAGTACTTGTAATCTTATTGGTTGGTCATGGTTTTGTCCCACCTCATGCCCACCCTGTAAATTTCCACTGGGTCTTATAGTTTTGCCCCACTTTGCACCCACGTCACCACATGGCTTTGCTGTATAAAACAGCTTTGAAAAGTGGGGTGGGTGGGCAACCCACTTTCTGGTCCCCCTCTGCCTCTCTTAGAAGCTTTCTTTCTCTCATTAACTTTTTCCTACTCTTAACTTCCGTTGTTCCTAGAAGTCATTCTTTCATTTTAGAGAACACAAACTCCCATTTCGGGTATCTAGTAGGTTTGGGAGTTACATCTCTTTCCCTATATCATTTTGGAGGTCTTCCACCCAGATCACTGGTTGGAGGTAAGAGCTTTCTTTCATAGGTTCTAACTTTGGTCTTTTTGCTTCATACATTGTAACTTTTCATTTCGTAGGCTCTGGCTATTTGTTTCATAGATTCTGGTTTTTGTTTTGGCCTTTGTTTCAAAAGTGTCTTAATTTGGGGGGTTTTTTGGTTTTTTTGGTACCAGGGATCGAACTCAGGACCTTGCACTTGTGAAGCTGGGGGCGGCACCACTGAGCTAAATCCCTGGCCCAAAAGTGTCTTAATTTTAAATTGTATGTTTTGAAATT